TTTATGTAAGTTTTCACGGGTATGTATGTGTGTATATGGTCATAAGTGTGAGGACCGGTCGTAAGTCCCATTTTTCAGTCACTATATGAATGGTTGGAAGTCAAAGAAAATCTGTCCTCTGTTGCCTTTAATTTTTCCCCAAAGGGCTGATCTGTAACAGTCACGCCCGAGGCCAAAAATTAAAAATTGGTTGGTTTGAATCAACTACCAAATAATTTAATAATTCCCCACCCCAAAAAATGCAGAAAATTGTTCATATGCAAAACTTTTTAAAGCGGGGCCAAGATCTCAACCAGTAGCCTGGATGAACCAAGGAAGAGCCGAGCGGAGGCGCCCGTATTTTATGTCGAAACGAAAGACAGTCACCCTTGCAAAAAATAAAATATAAAATAAAAAATTGAAATTATACAGCAGGCCTAACCGTTCTAAATATGGCACCTCTGGCCAAGAGAGGTTGTATTTCTGCCACTTAGGCCCGTAAACTCAAAATAGCCAAATCCGTGCCGTATTTATGGCCTAAGATAAGGACGCTGGAGCCTTTCCAAAGATCAAAATGAGCAGGACCCTTCAGGAAGGAGAAAGGGAGGGGAATTGGAGGGAAGGAAGGAAGGAAGGAAGGAAGGAAGGAAGGAAGGAAGGAAGGAAGGTGAGTAGATAAATAGATGGATTGAAGGGAAGGAAGGAAGGAAGATGGCAATGAGTAGGAAGGAAGGAAGGAAGGAAGGAAAGGAAGGAAGGAAGGAAGGTGAGTAGATAAATAGATGGATTGAAGGGAAGGAAGGAAGGAAGGAAGGAAGGAAGGTGAGTAGATAAATAGATGGATTGAAGGGAAGGAAGGAAGGAAGATGGCAATGAGTAGGAAGGAAGGAAGGAAGGAAAGGAAGGAAGGAAGGAAGGTGAGTAGATAAATAGATGGATTGAAGGGAAGGAAGGAAGGAAGATGGCAATGAGTAGGAAGGAAGGAAGGAAGGAAAGGAAGGAAGGAAGGAAGGAAGGTGAGTAGATAAATAGATGGATTGAAGGGAAGGAAGGAAGGAAGGAAGGAAGGAAGGAAGGAAGGAAGGAAGGAAGGAAGGAAGGTGAGTAGATAAATAGATGGATTGAAGAAGGAAGGAAGGAAGATGGGAATGAGAAGGAAGGAAGGAAGGAAGGAAGGAAGGAAGGAAGGAAGGAAGGAAGGTGAGTAGATAAATAGATGGATTAAAGGGAAGGAAGGAAGATGGGAATTAGAAGGAAGGAAGGAAGGAAAGGAAGGAAGGAAGGAAGGAAGATGGGAATGAGAAGGACGGAAGGAAGGAAGGAAGGAAAGAAGGAAGGAAGATGGGAATGAGGAGAAGGAAGGAGGGAAGGAAGGAAGATGGGAATGAGAAGGAAGGAAGGGAAGGAAGGAAGGAAGGAAGATGGGAATGAGGAGAAGGAAGGAGGGAAGGAAGGAAGATGGAAATGAAGGAAGGGAAGGGAAGGAAGGAAGGAAGGAAAAGGAAGGAAGGAAGATGGGAATGAGAAGGAAGGAAGGAAGGTGAGTAGATAAATAGATGGATTGAAGGGAAGGAAGGAAGAAAGATGAGAATGAGGAGAAGGAAGGAAGGAAGGAAGGCTTGTGAGTCAAGAGCCAAACTTAAATGCCTACAGGTAATCCTCAACTTACATTCATTTATTCATTTAGTGACCGTTCAAAGTTACAACCGCCCTGACAAAAAGGGACTTACGGCCATTTTTCACCCTTACGACCAACGCAGCATCTCCCTGCTCACGTAATCAAAATTCAAACCCTTTCCAACTGGTTCATTTTTACGACGGCCACAGCATCCCCCTGGGGGATGTGTGTGCGTATCACCCGACCCCCCTCCCTCCTTTTGCGACCCCCTGACCAGCCAATCCAACGGGGAAGCCCGGATTCGCTTAACGACTAGGCGGCTCTCTTCCTGACGGCCGCGTATCCCACCCCCTAAAACGGACGGCGACGACGAGAAAGTTCGTAAAAACGGGGCGAAGCTCTCTCCCCTTTTTGCAGCAGACGTTTTTGGGGCTCTCCGTCACGGTCGTAAGTCGGAGGACTGCCTGGAATCCACCTGGGGAAAACCAAATTTAGGATTTTGCTGGGGTGGGGGTGTCTCTGCACCCCTTCCCCAAAATTCGCTGGAAAAAGGGAGAAGGGAGGGGGAGAGGGGCTGCCACAGGCCCGTATCTTCGGAGTAGCAAACTGGGCCGAAGGAGTAAGGGGGGCTGAAGGGGGGGCTGAAAGGGTGGGTGTCTTCCCCCCCCCATTTAGAAACCCGCCCCCTGGTTCCTAAGCAACTCAAATTGCCTGGAACGAGCCTCCTACTATAACCAGCAAATTGGCAGCTTCTGTTCTTGCTTTCTCTTTTCTTTTCTTTTCTTTTCTTTTCTTTTCTTTTCTTTTCTTTTCTATTTCTGCCTTTGTGATGCTGGGAACACCACCCCAGCTGTTGGGAAAGGAAGACGGGGAGCCACCATAAAAGAAAAGAAAAGAAGAAAGAGAAATGGATTTTTTTTTTAAATGCACAAATAAAAAAGAGGGAGGAAAAAAAAAAATCTTTTTTTTACAGGCTCCTGGTGGTTTTTTTTTTCTCTTTCTTTCTTTTTACTCCCAAATGTCTTGCTGGCATTTTATTTTATTTTTTTTTGGGCTGACAATTAAACTGTTCGCAGCAGGACTGCACGTTAATTAATAGCGGGCCGGGGCAATTACTGCCATCGTCCGCTGTGCAAGTTCAAAAAGACATTAAATGTCACCGCTTTGCCTTTTTATTATTTGGGGAAAACCTTTTGCAGGAGAGGGGGCCCAAATTCACCGAGGGGTCCTTTTCTCCTCCTCCTCCTCCTCCTCCCACCTTCGGGGGGTGGGCAGGGGGGATTTGAGCCCAGAAAACGTTGGACGTCCGCCAGCTCCAATATATATTTCTTTTCTCCCTGGCTTTTTCATTTTAACTAATACAAAAAGAAATAAATGAAAAAAAAAGATAAGGAAGGAAGGAAGGAAAGAAGGAGGGAGGGAGGGAAGACTGCCATTCGATTGGCTGTGTGTGTGTTTTTTTTTTTTTTAAAAATCAGCTGGTTTTGAAAAAAGAGCAGAGGATGGAAGGAGTTAAGATTCTCGCCTTTTGCAAATATATATATATATATATATATTTTTTCCTAGCAACGGAGAAAAGGAAGAATGGAGGGAGAGAGGGGGAGAGAGATTAAAGCAGCGATCAATATCACAAAAAAAGATAGTTGTAAGCTAACAGGAGTGGTGTTTTTTTTTTTCCTCCTGCAGGCAGGCAGTTTTTTCACTTAAATGTGATTTTTTTGGGGGGGGAGTGGGGTGGGGAAATCTTAGGTACCCTGTTTTGACCTGAATATCTATCATTGGTGTTTCCCCCTTCATTTAGACAACGTTGCCATTACTAGAAGGTGCATTCGAGGGTTGCTGGGCCGCTGGTGCCACCTTAACCATCATCCCCAGCCAAGCTGCCCGCACTTAGATACTTAGGGTTTGGTTCCCCTTTTCCTGTCCCTAAGCCCAGAAATTCAGGGGAGGGGGGCAAAAAAAGCAGCATTTTAACAAAACGCCATCCGTTTCTGGCAAAGGAAACATCTGATGTTTGGAAATCCGGTCGGATTTAAGACTTCTGAGAAACCCACCCCCCCAAAGATGGGAAAAGTGGGGAACTAGGTTAGGCTGGGGTAGGGGTTCAAAACAGCCCCTAGGAGGGGGGGCTTTTTGGGCGTGCTCCCCCCAACCCAAGGAAGCCAAAGGAATTGCACATTTTTTGCCACAATATTTCTCCAGGGATTTTGCCATTCCTGAACTTTCTGTCTCTTTGCAACCCTGCGTGGCCCAAACCTGCTGAACCCCCCCCCCCGAGCCCCCCACCCCCACCCCAAAGAGTCCCTTCCACGATGCAGGAAATTGGGGTTTTCTTCTCTTTCCTTTCGGGTTCATGGCGGGATGCTTTGAAGAGAACGGGCGGCCCGAGGAAGGAGGCCATTCCAGGCTTAGCAACTCGGGGGGGGGGGGGAGGGAGGAAGGAGCTGACCAGGGGGATCTTCCTGGACCCCCCCCACCCCCACTCCCAGGTGAGATGGAAAATTCAGAAGAGGGATGAGCAAAAGGAAGGAAGGAAGGTGGCTCTCGTTCGGTTTGCCCCCCCCCACCCTCCGGCTTCTTCGTGGTGATATCATCAAGAGGCAAGAGGGAGGAAGGAAGGAAGGAAGGAAGGAAGGAAGGAAGGAAGGCAGGAAGGAAGGAAGATGACTAGATACATGGATGGTTGGATGGGAAGGAAGGAAGGAGGGAAGGAAGGAAGGAAGGAAGGAAGGAAAGAAAGAAAGAAAGAAGGAAGGAAGGAAGGAAGGAAGGAAGGAAGATGACTAGATACATGGATGGTTGGATGGGAAGGAAGGAAGGAAGGAAGGAAAGAAGGAAAGAAAGAAAGAAAGAAGGAAGGAAGGAAGGAAGGAAGGAAGGAAGGAAGGAAGGAAGGAAGGAAGGAAGATGACTGGATATATGGATGGTTGGATGGGAAGGAAGGAAGGAAGGAAAGGAAGGAAGGAAGGAAGGAAGGAAGATGGCTAGATAGATGGATTGGTGGATGGGAGGGAAGGAAGGAAGGAAGGGGAAGGGAAGGGAAGGAGAAAGGAAGGATAGAGAATGAATGGAGGGAGGGAGGGAGGGTGGGAAGAAAAGGAAAGGAGGAAGGAAGGATAAAAAATGAAGGGAGACGGAAGGAAGGAAAGAAGGAAGGGAAGGGAAGGATGAAGGAAGGTAAGATGGAAGGAAGGTATAGAAAAGGAAGGGAATTGGAGGGGAAGGAAGGAGTGAAGGAAGGAAAACAAAGGAAGGAAGAGAAAAGGGAGCGAATTGGAGGGGAAGGAAGGAAGGAAGGAAGGAAGGAAGGAAGGAAGGAAGGAAGCTGCACAACCCCGTCGCCTGAGGCGTGGGATCCACACAGTGGATTGGTCCACCCCCCCACCCTACCCCACCCCCGGTCTGTCCGTCTCCATCTCAGCGCTGCCCCTTCGATTGGCTTTGTTTTCACTTTGAAGACCTGAGATTGAAGGTGGATTTCGGACTGAGCCTCCACCAAACACGGCAGCAGCGGCAGCAGCGAAGGGGGCCAGGCTGGAAAAGACCCTGCCCCTCTTCCAAGCCCTACCCCGGACCCCCCACTCAGGAGGCCCGGAGCCGAGAGCCTACCCATGCGAGGCCCTGGAGCTCCCGGGGCTGGGTTCGAGTTTCTCCTGGGACAGGTCGTGGCTCCGTGGCCGTCCCTTCGGCCTTCTTCTTTTTCTTTTTCTTCTTTTTCTTCTTCTTCTCCTCCTTTTTTTTTTTGGCTTGGCCTTCTGCTGCGTTTTTGCGTTGCTGCGTCTTCTCCTCCCACCTTCAACAGCTGCTGGAGCTGGTGTACGGGGTGGGGAAGGAGGTGGAACTGACCCCCAGGGGGCTGTCGGAGAGGGGCGTCTGGGAGGCCCCCACCACGGCCCCCAAGCTCACCCCCCGGCTCTCCATCAGGGCAGCCAGGAGCTGCTGCTGCTGTTGGCGCAAAGTGTCCGTGATCAGCAAGGGGAGAGCGCTGAAGTTGGCGGCCAGTTGCTCCAGCTTGGTCTCCAGGCCCCCCAGCTGCTTCTCCAGGTCCTCGCTGCGGTCGTTCAGCTCCGTGATGAGGTCGTACATGACGTTTTGCATCTGCCAATCAAAAAAATAAATAAAAAAGAGGGGGGAGACACACGGGTTATTCCCCACTCTAAGATCTTTCCCTTCTCTTATTCCTTCCTTCTTTCCTCTCCAATTCCCAACCCTTCCCTTCCTACGTCTCTGCTTCCTTCCTTCCTTCCTTCCTTCCTTCCTTCCTTCTTTCCTTCCCTACCTTCCCTTCCCCTCCAGTTTCCATCCCTTCCCTTCATCTCTCCTTCCTTCCTTACTCTCCAATTCCCACCCCTTCTCTTCCTACATCTCTGCTTCCTTCCTTCCTTCCTTCCCTTCCTTTCCTTTCCTTCCCCTCCAGTTCCCATCCCTTTCCTTCATCTCTCCTTCCTTCCTTCCTCTCCAATTCCCATCCCTTCCCTTCCTACATCTCTCCTTCCTTCCTTCCTTCCTTCCTTCCTTCCTTCCTTCCCTTCCTTTCTTTCCCCTCTAGTTCCCATCCCTTCCCTTCATCTCTCCTTCCTTCCTCCCCAATTCCCACCCCTTCTCTTCCTACATCTCTGCTTCCTTCCTTGCTTGCTTCCTTCCCTTCCTTTCCTTTCCTTCCTCTCCAATTCCCATCCCTTCCCTTCCTACATATCTGCTTCCTTCCTTCCTTTTTCTTCCTTCCTTCCCTTCCCTTCCTTCCCCTCCAGTTCTCATCCCTTTCCTCCATCTCTACTTCCTTCCCTTCTCTATCCTTCCCTTTTTCTCCTTTCCTTTCCTTTCCTCCCCTCCCCTCCCTATTCCCTTGCACTTCCCTTCCCTTTTCTAGGTCTAATTCCAAGAACCTTTAATCAAAAATTGCAACCCCCACCGCCACAAAAAAAAACAAAAACGCCTCTCCACCCCAGCGGAGGCCTTTTCTCTGGAGACCTTGAGAGCAAGTCTCCCTAAAGCTTCATTATTTGATGCCAAGAGAGACCCCTTCACTTCCTCCCTTTTCAACAGAAGCTCATCCGCCTTTAGCTTGTTTCCCCCCCTCCCCTTTAAAATATCCCTGCAAAGTTCACTGTGAAATGTGGGTCTGAATAACCAGGGGGCAATTCCTCTCCACCACCACCACCCCAATGGCTGGCAAACCCTCCTTCCTTGCCTCCTGTTAAGTATCCTGGCTAATTTCTTTAAAACAATGTCTGGTTTGAGCAAAAAAAAACCCTGCCTGGCAATAGCCAGCCAGCCTCCAAGGGAATGCAAATCTTTTCAAACAGTTATTTGGCTCATTTATACAAAAGTCCGAACAAGTCCAGCTTCCTTGCCAAAAGAATTGCATTAATATATATATATATTAATGCAATTCTTTTTGCAAGGAAGCTGGACTTGTTCGGACTTTTGTATGTGTATGTATGTATGTATATATATATATATATATATATATATATATATATATATATATATATATATATATATATATATATATATATATATATGTTTTCGTTTTCATATATATATATATATATATATATATATATATATATATATATATATATATATATATATATATATATATATTTATATATATATATATATAAAATATATGATATCCATTAGCAAATGGATGCACTTCTCATCTTGAGGTCTAGAAACTTGACTTCCAATAAAAGTTTCCCCCAGGGGCCGCTCAGAGGTTTAAGGAAGCCGGCCAAGTCATGAGGGAAGAATAAAGCATTGATGCTTTTGGCAATCGTGGCTTTGTACCTGGACCAGATTGTATTTTAAGTCACTCAGTGGTATTTTTTTATTGCCTTTTAACAAAGGATGTTTTTTCCCACTCACACATACAAATTCAATGCCATTTGCATGTCCAAGAATTAAAAAAAACAGGCACATAAAATGCTGTGGTTTTTCACCCTGACTGAGGTTTTCCCTTCGGGAATCAATCTTAAAACGCTGAGGACTAGGAACTTGGTTTTGCAACGGGTGTCTCTAGGGGGGGGAGAGGTTTTACTTTGAAGAAATCTCTGTCTTTGAGAGAGAGAGAGAGAGAGAGAGAGAGAGAGAAAAGATATTGCAACAGGTGGACTGTTGTTTTAGGAAGCCAAGAGAAGCAAACATTGGTTGCGTGTGTGATATTTTGTGTTGATTTCCCAGGAAAGCCTCCAGGCTTTTGACTGCCTCTAAAATCAGCAGTGGGATGAGAAAGAACAGATGGGGAGAGGAGGGGGGGAGGCTAGAAGAAAAGGGTAGAAATCAGAATAACAACCCTGACCGTGAGAGGGAGAGAGGAAGGAAGGAAGGAAGGAAGGAAGGAAGGAGAAAAAGAAGGAGAAAAGAAGGAGAAAGAAGGAAGGAGAGAGAGAAGGAGAAGAGGGAAGGAAGGAGGAATAGAAGGAAGGGAGAAAGGGAGAAAGGGGAGGAAAGGGGAGGAAGGACATAGAGAGAGAGGAAAGAAGAAAAAGTGAAAGAAAAAAGGAAGGAAGGAGAAAAAGGAGAAAGAAGAAAGGAGAGAGAGAGAGAGAAAGAAAAGAGGGAAGGAAGGAGGAATAGAAGGAAGGGAGAAAGGGGAGGAAAGGGGAGGAAGGACATAGAGAGAGAGGAAAGAAGAAAAAGTGAAAGAAAAAAGGGAGGGGGGAGGAAGGAGGAAGGAAGGAGACAGAGGAAGAGATAGATGGATGGGAAGAAGGAAGGAAAAGACAGAAAGATGGATGGAAAGAAGGAAGGAAGACAAAGAGAGGATGGATGGATGGATGGATGGATGGATGGATGGATGCATAGATGGATGGAAGGAAGAAGGAAGGAAGGAGGCATAGGAAGAGAGAGAGGGAAAGAAGAGAAAGGGAAGAAAAAAACACAGATTGGGAAGGAAGGGAGGGAGGAGGGAGAGAGAGAAGGGAGACAAGAAAGAAGAGAAAGGGAATGAAAAAAGAGGGAGGAGGGAGGAAAGAGAGAGGAGGGAGAGACAGAGGAAGGAAGAGAAAGGGACAGAAGGAAAAAAAGAGAAAGAGAAGGGAGGGAGGGAGGGGGAAAGGAGGAAGGGAGGGAGGGCGGAAAAAAGAGAAAAAGAAGGAAGGAGAGAGAGAAGGAAAAAGGGAAGGCAGGGATGGATGGAAGGAGGGAGGGAGGGAGGAATGAAGGACGAGAAAGGGACAGAAGGAAAAAAAGAGAGAAAGAGAAGGGAGGGAGAGAGAGAGGGAAGAAAGGAGGGAAAGGAGGGAGGGAGGAAAAAAGAGAAAAAGAAGGAAGGAGGGAGGGAGAGAGAGAAAAAGAAAAATGGAAGAAAAGGCAGGGAGGGACGGAGGAAGGAAGGAAGGAGAGAGAGGAGGGAGGGAGGAATGAAGGAAGAGAAAGGGACAGAAGGAAAAAAAGAGAAAGAGAAGGAAGAAGAGAGAGAGAGAGAGAGAGAAGGAGAAAAAAAAGAAAGGAAAAGCAGAGATGGAGGGAAGCCAGGAAGGCAGAAAAACTTCCTCTCTCCCCCACAAGACCCCCTCAGCCGGCCCACCCTCCCTTTCCCTTCCCCCCTCCCCAGCTGAGTCCCCCCTCCCCCCTTCAGCCCCCCCCATCCCTCAGCTCAGCAGGAGAAGCCGCCCTCCCCTGCATCTTTCCGCGGGGTTGCCTGGCAACCCAATGCTTGGGAAATCCCGCCAAGCAGTGCCTCCCCCCCTCTCCCCCCTCCCTTCTGCAAAACAGAGAATCCCCCCCCCCTTCCAACTCCTCTACCAAGGGAAGCCTGGGAGAGCTCCTCAAGGGTCAGGAAAAAAAAGAAAAAAAAAAAAAGAAAAAAAAATCAGCAGGGTTTCCCAGAGGGCATCCAAACGGTCCCTCTTCCCTGCCGGCTCTCCCACCGCACAGCCTCGCCTGGGAATTGCAAGAGAGGGGAGAAAGGGATGCCAAAGTTTGACGGAACCGGAGGACCCAACGGACCCCCGGAGGGGTTTTTTTTTTCCCGCCCCCACCAGCCCGGCTACTCCGAAGCCCATAATCCTCCCCTCTTGGCCCAGCAATCCCATCTCCTTTTACCGTCCTTGAAAGGCAGCGTTAGATACCTTCGAAAGATCGACCAACGTGTTGGCTTGATCGTTCAGCTTCCTTTGTTCCATCTTCACGTTCCTTAACCTAAGGGGGAAAAAAAAAGAAATAAACGTGAAAAATAACTGATAGAAACGTTTCACCCGGTTCGGATGAACTGGTAGTGGCAGCGGTGGGAGGCTCCGCCCACCTCCCTATCATCCTGGCCCTCACCTCTCTCTTCTAGCCTCTGCTTGGAACAACCTCATTGAGGACTAGAATCCTGCCCGGGCCTTCTTTCCAGAGGAAAAAAATACATTTATTTTTATTTATTTATTTTTGCCTTTATGATCATCCTTGGATCCCACTTTTCCGTGGCTCGGCGAGACATTTCTCTGCCCCGTTTTGCGACCTTTCTTCCCCTCGTCGTTAAGCGAACCGCCGCCGTGGTTGAGTTAGCCACACCGGGGGGGGCGGGGGGGAGATTCAGTGAATCGTGTTTCCCCCCCCACGCCCGTCGACTTGGCTCCTCGGCAGGTCGCAAAACGGGACACGGCAACCGTCGTAAATATGAGTTAGCGCCCAAATTTTTTTTCTTTTTTTTTCAAGTTTTTATTTATACATTTTTCCTGAACACATATAAGTGTCTTGTCTGGGTCTTTTAACATATACCTCATCATAATAGTAGCAATAATATTCTTTACTTGTGTATAATAGTATCCTTTCCAACTTCTAATTTCTACCTTTATTATCTAAACCAGGGTCTGCAACCTTAAATACTCAAAAGAGCCATTTGGACCCGTTTCCCACAGAAAAGAAAACACCGGGAGCCACAAAACCTGGTGGGCGTGGCCAACTCAATGTCACTCACTTCCACCAGTCACATGACACCCTCCTAGCCACGCCTACGCAGCTGGTCATTAGGGCAGAGAACCGGTTGTTAAAAAACACCGGGAACCACAAAATCTTTTTGACATCTCTCTCTCTCCCCTCCCTCTCTCCCCCCTCCCTCTCTCTCTCTGTATCTATGTCTCTCTCTCTCCCCTTTCTCTCTGTATCTATGTCTCTCTCTCCCCACTCTCTCTGTATCTATGTCTCTCTCTCCCCTTTCTCTCTGTATCTATGTCTCCCCTATTTCTCCATATCTATGTCTCTCTCTCCCCTCTCTCTCTGTATCTCTCTCTCTCTCTCTCCCCTCTCTCTATCTATGTTTCTCTCTCTCTCTTCTCTCTCTCTCTGTATCTATGTCTCTCTCTCTCTTCCTCTCTCTGTATCTATGTCTCTCTCTCTCTTCCTCTCTCTCTGTATCTATGTCTCTCTCTCTCTCCCCTTTCTCTCTGTATGTATGTCTCTCTCTTCCTCTCTCTGTATCTATGTCTCTCTCTCTCCCCTCTCTCTCTGTATCTATGTCTCTCTCTCTCCCCCCTCTCTGTATCTATGTCTCCCCTATCTCTCTATATCTATGTCTCTCTCTCCCCACTCTCTCTGTATCTATGTCTCCCCTATCTCTCTATATCTATGTCACTCTCCCCCCTCTCTCTCTATATCTATGTCTCTCTCTCCCCACTCTCTCTGTATCTATGTCTCCCCTATCTCTCTATATCTATGTCTCTCTCTCCCCACTCTCTCTGTATCTATGTCTCTCCTCTCTCTATATATCTATGTCTCTCTCTCCCCTCTCTCTCTGTATCTATGTCTCTCTTTCCCCCCTCTCTCTGTATCTATGTCTCTCTCTCCCCTTTCTCTCTGTATCTATGTCTCCCCTATTTCTCCATATCTATGTCTCTCTCTCCCCTCTCTCTCTGTATCTCTCTCTCTCTCTCCCCTCTCTCTATCTATGTTTCTCTCTCTCTCTTCTCTCTCTCTCTGTATCTATGTCTCTCTCTCTCTTCCTCTCTCTGTATCTATGTCTCTCTCTCTCTTCCTCTCTCTCTGTATCTATGTCTCTCTCTCTCCCCTCTCTCTGTATCTATGTCTCTCTCTCTCCCCCCTCTCTGTATCTATGTCTCCCCTATCTCTCTATATCTATGTCTCTCTCTCCCCACTCTCTCTGTATCTGTCTCCCCTATCTCTCTATATCTATGTCTCTCTCCCCCCTCTCTCTCTGTATCTATGTCTCTTTCTCTCCCCTCTCTCTCTGTATCTATGTCTCCCCTATCTCTCTATATCTATGTCTCTCTCTCCCCACTCTCTCTGTATCTATGTCTCCCCTATCTCTCTATATCTATGTCTCTCTCCCCCCTCTCTCTCTGTATCTATGTCTCTTTCTCTCTCCCCTTTCTCTCTGTATGTATGTCTCTCTCTCTCTTCCTCTCTCTGTATCTATGTCTCTCTCTCTCTTCCTCTCTCTCTGTATCTATGTCTCTCTCTCTCTCCTCTCTCTCTGTATCTATGTCTCCCCTATCTCTCTATATCTATGTCTCTCTCTCCCCACTCTCTCTGTATCTATGTCTCCCCTATCTCTCTATATTTATGTCTCTCTCCCCCCTCTCTCCGTATCTATGTCTCTCTTTCCCCCCTCTCTCTGTATCTATGTCTCTCTCTCTCCCCTCTCTCTCTGTATCTATGTCTCCCCTATCTCTCTATATCTATGTCTCTCTCTCCCCACTCTCTCTGTATCTATGTCTCTCCTCTCTCTATATATCTATGTCTCTCTCTCCCCTCTCTCTCTGTATCTATGTCTCTCTTTCCCCCCTCTCTCTGTATCTATGTCTCTCTCTCCCCTTTCTCTCTGTATCTATGTCTCCCCTATTTCTCCATATCTATGTCTCTCTCTCCCCTCTCTCTCTGTATCTCTCTCTCTCTCTCCCCTCTCTCTATCTATGTTTCTCTCTCTCTCTTCTCTCTCCCTCTGTATCTATGTCTCTCTCTCTCTTCCTCTCTCTGTATCTATGTCTCTCTCTCTCTTCCTCTCTCTCTGTATCTATGTCTCTCTCTCTCTCCCCTTTCTCTCTGTATGTATGTCTCTCTCTTCCTCTCTCTGTATCTATGTCTCTCTCTCTCCCCTCTCTCTCTGTATCTATGTCTCTCTCTCTCCCCCCTCTCTGTATCTATGTCTCCCCTATCTCTCTATATCTATGTCTCTCTCTCCCCACTCTCTCTGTATCTATGTCTCCCCTATCTCTCTATATCTATGTCACTCTCCCCCCTCTCTCTATATATCTATGTCTCTCTCTCCCCACTCTCTCTGTATCTATGTCTCCCCTATCTCTCTATATCTATGTCTCTCTCCCCCCTCTCTCTCTGTATCTATGTCTCTTTCTCTCTCCCCTTTCTCTCTGTATGTATGTCTCTCTCTCTCTTCCTCTCTCTGTATCTATGTCTCTCTCTCTCTTCCTCTCTCTCTGTATCTATGTCTCTCTCTCTCCCCTCTCTCTCTGTATCTATGTCTCCCCTATCTCTCTATATCTATGTCTCTCTCTCCCCACTCTCTCTGTATCTATGTCTCCCCTATCTCTCTATATTTATGTCTCTCTCCCCCCCTCTCCGTATCTATGTCTCTCTTTCCCCCCTCTCTCTGTATCTATGTCTCTCTCTCTCCCCTCTCTCTCTGTATCTATGTCTCCCCTATCTCTCTATATCTATGTCTCTCTCTCCCCACTCTCTCTGTATCTATGTCTCTCCTCTCTCTATATATCTATGTCTCCCTCTCCCCTCTCTCTCTGTATCTATGTCTCTCTTTCCCCCCTCTCTCTGTATCTACGTCTCTCTCTCCCCTTTCTCTCTGTATCTATGTCTCCCCTATTTCTCCATATCTATGTCTCTCTCTCCCCTCTCTCTCTGTATCTCTCTCTCTCTCCCCTCTCTCTATCTATGTTTCTCTCTCTCTCTTCTCTCTCTCTCTGTATCTATGTCTCTCTCTCTCTTCCTCTCTCTGTATCTATGTCTCTCTCTCTCTTCCTCTCTCTCTGTATCTATGTCTCTCTCTCTCTCCCCTTTCTCTCTGTATCTATGTCTCTCTCTTCCTCTCTCTGTATCTATGTCTCTCTCTCTCCCCTCTCTCTCTGTATCTATGTCTCCCCTATCTCTCTATATCTATGTCTCTCTCTCCCCACTCTCTCTGTATCTATGTCTCCCCTATCTCTCTATATCTATGTCTCTCTCTCCCCCCTCTCTCTTTGTATCTATGTCTCTCTCTCTCTCCCCTTTCTCTCTGTATGTATGTCTCTCTCTCTCTTCCTCTCTCTGTATCTATGTCTCTCTCTCTCTTCCTCTCTCTCTGTATCTATGTCTCTCTCTCTCTCTCCCCTTTCTCTCTGTATGTATGTCTCTCTCTCTCCCCCCTCTCTGTATCTATGTCTCCCCTATCTCTCTATATCTATGTCTCTCTCTCCCCACTCTCTCTGTATTTATGTCTCCCCTATCTCTCTATATCTATGTCTCTCTCTCCCCCCTCTCTGTATCTATGTCTCCCCTATCTCTCTATATCTATGTCTCTCTCTCCCCACTCTCTCTGTATCTATGTCTCCCCTATCTCTCTATATTTATGTCTCTCTCCCCCCTCTCTCCGTATCTATGTCTCTCTCTCCCCCTCTCTCTGTATCTATGTCTCTCTCTCTCCCCTCTCTCTCTGTATCTATGTCTCTCTCTCCCCCACTCTCTGTATCTCTGTATCTCTCTATCTGTCTGCCCTGGCCGCTTCTCCATCCCCCGCCGTCGCCCTTACCTTCTCAGGCCAGGTGAGGAGTGACTGGGAGGGGAGGGCGAGGGGCGGGGCCGGTCAATGGTGGGATCACCTGACAGGGAGCCACCGCAGAGGGCCCAAAGATCCACATGCGGCTCTGGAGCCGCAAGTTGCCAACTCCTAATCTAAACCCTTGATAAAACAAATCCCAAAATTAAAATACGAGTCAAGCAGTCCGCCTGAATTTCGATCCCGTGACCGTGGGGGGGGGAGTGGAAGATGCCCCAACGGTCGTTAAGTGTGAAACCAGGCCTTCGGTTTGCTTATTTCAGGGCCGTCGTAACTTGAAATGGTCGCTAAACAAATTGTCATAAGACGAAGGGGCTACCGGTATTCACGGGGAAACGTAAGTAATCCTCATTTGCACCCCTATTTCTCTACCTGTCCAAGGTGTCAATTCAGCTCAACGGCTCTTTGCAATGACCCCATTTTTTTGGGGGGGGGGAGGGGAAATCTGGAAATGAGTAGGTTGCCCCCCCACCCCCCTGAACCCCCAAAATTAACCTACTGGTGGATGGCTTGGAGGAATTTTCTCTGGTGCTTCCGGATCTTGCCGTGGTCGATCTTTTTCAACAACTTGGTGTGTTTGTAGATCAGCCAAGTTTCCCGTAGGACGTTGGCCGCCGCGTTCTTGATCTGGCGGGAGGAAAACACACATGTGTACCTCTGTGTACAAAGGCAGTCTACCTCACAGTTGGCCTTCCTCTAAGCTGGCCTTTCAGGAGGGAACCTCCATATACAAAGGCAGTCTACCTCACAGCTGGCCTTCCTCTAAGCTGGCCTTTCTGAGGTGGGGAGAGGGAAGGATGAGTCCCCAACTCATCTAGGGGTGGGGTAGCCTAAACTAGCCGCCCAGGGCTGCCTAATCGGCTGGAACTACAAATCCCATCAGTCGCACCCTCCTCCCAGCGAAGCCTGCAAGGAGAAGGAAGCTTCTTGTGGAAGGCCTCTCAAATTTAGACATTTGATCCCAAACAGAAGGGATTCTTCCAACGACTTAAGTTGGGCTCAATGTTGGCTTCTCGGTTTCTCTTTGTCCAAGATGGTTTATGCCACTTGGGATTTTACAAGTTTACAAACCACGGTTTAATCCTGGTTTGGGGCATCAACCACAAGGGAGCTCAAATCCCACGAGACTGTAGGAATTGCAAGGCCACAGCAGACAACTTGATGCTCAATTGGATACAACCCCAAGGCCCGACCACATCATGCCCCAAACAAACCACCATATCCTAGCTTGTTAAGCTTTCCATTAAAGACTTAGGCGTTGGTTCCCTCCATCGGGCAGGAACTCATTCGAGTCAGTCAAAATTGCTTTTTAATTGATTTTTTTTTTTTTTAATTGTTGCCCTCGGTAACATTTTGTGTCGCCAACATTGAGTCTTTACGGGCGATCGCTTTCCTCAAACTGTTTTTAATGGGAGGCTTGTTGTATTATTTATCGACTGTGGCTCCCTGCGTCCCGTCGGGAGGGGAAAGCAGTTTGAAAAGAAAACAAATATTAATAAATCATAAGGCATCCCCCACTGGGGAGCCGGGAAATGGGAATGCAGGAATGCACGCAAAGCTGGGCTTTCCACCGTTAATTGCAAGCTGCAAAAAATAATAATGCAAATAATAAACGCTCTGGTCCTCATGGTTCTCGAAGGCAAACCAAGAAGCATTTAGCTCATTGTGACAAAGGATTGTTTATATCCTTCAGGAGACCCGAAGCAAACATTTATCGTATTTGTATTGTAGAATGGAAGGAAAGAACAGGTATCGCTTAATGCAGTGTTTCTCAAGAGACTGAATTTAAGGCCGAGGGACTTCAACTCCCAGAATTCCCAGCCAGCATGCTTTAAGACGGATGGACTCCAACTCCCAGAATTCCCAGCCAGCATGCTTTAAGAAGGGTGGACTTCAACTCCCAGAATACCCCAGTCCATTTGAAGATGGGTGAACTGCAATTCCCAGAATACCCCAGCCAGCATGTTGACTAACGGATTATGGGAGCTGAAATCCACACCTCTTAAAACAGACTTGCTGGGGAATTCTGGGAGTTGAAGTCCATACGGGTCTTAAAGATGCCACGTTAGTGTTATTATTTCCTGTTTTTAAAAATCGAGTGTTTTTGCTGCCGAGGAAGAAAACGCGTGATGCCGCGGTCAGAAAATAAGCTGCTCAGCAGGAAAAAAATTTTTTTTGACTCAAATGCTATTATTTTGGTCCTGAGCAGCTTTTTTTCTGACCGCGGCATCACGCGTTTTCTTCCTCGGGCAGCAAAAACACTCGATTTTTAAAAACAGCTAATAATAATATTTTTAAGCAAGGAATTCCACCCCGAATCACATTCTAGCATCCGTTGTTACATTTGAGTCAAAAAAAATTTTTTGGTCCTGGGCAGCTTTTTTTCTGACCCCGGCATCACGCGTTTTCTTCCTCTCGGAGCAAAAACACTCGATTTTTAAAAACAGCTAATAATAACATTTTTAAGCATGGAATTCCACCCCGAATCACATTCTAGCATCCGTTGTTACATTTGAGTCAAAAAAATTTTTTTGGTCCTGAGCAGTTTTTTTTCTGACCCCGGCATCACGCGTTTTCTTCCTCGGGCAGCAAAAACACTCGATTTTTAAAAACAGCTAATAATAACATTTTTAAGCATGGAATTCCACCCCGAATCACATTCTAGCATCCGTTGTTACATTTGAGTCAAAAAAATTTTTTTGGTCCTGAGCAGTTTTTTTTCTGACCCCGGCATCACGCGTTTTCTTCCTCGGGCAGCAAAAACACTCGATTTTTAAAAACAGCTAATAATAACATTTTTAAGCATGGAATTCCACCCCGAATCACATTCTAGCATCCGTTGTTACATTCGAGTCAAAAAAAAAATTTTGGTCCTGAGCAGTTTTTTTTCTGACCCCGGCATCACGCGTTTTCTTCCTCGGGCAGCAAAAACACTCGATTTTTAAAAACAGCTAATAATAATATTTTTAAGCATGGAATTCCACCCCGAATCACATTCTAGCATCCATTGTTACATTTGAGTCAAAAAAATTTTTTTTCCTCCTGAGCAGCTTTTTTTCTGACCCCGGCATCACGCGTTTTCTTCCTCGGGCAGCAAAAACACTCGATTTTTAAAAACAGCTAATAATAATATTTTTAAACATGGAATTCCACCCCGAATCACATTCTAGCATCCGTTGTTACATTTGAGTCAAAAAAATTTTTTTGGTCCTGAGCAGTTTTTTTTCTGACCCCGGCATCACGCGTTTTCTTCCTCGGGCAGCAAAAACACTCGATTTTTAAAAACAGCTAATAATAATATTTTTAAGCATGGAATTCCACCCCGAATCACATTCTAGCATCCGTTGTTACATTTGAGTCAAAAAATTTTTTTTGGTCCTGAGCAGTTTTTTTTCTGACCCCGGCATCACGCTTTTTCTTCCTCGGGCAGCAAAAACACTCGATTTTTAAAAACAGCTAATAATAACATTTTTAAAGCATGGAATTCCACCCCGAATCACATTCTAGCATCCGTTGTTACATTCGAGTCAAAAAAATTTTTTTGGTCCTGAGCAGTTTTTTTTCTGACCCCGGCATCACGCGTTTTCTTCCTCGGGCAGCAAAAACACTCGATTTTTAAAAACAGCTAATAATAATATTTTTAAGCATGGAATTCCACCCCGAATCACATTCCAGCATCCGTTGTTACATTTGAGAAAAAAAAATTTTTTTTCCTCCTGAGCAGCTTTTTTTCTGACCCCGGCATCACGCGTTTTCTTCCTCGGGCAGCAAAAACACTCGATTTTTAAAAACAGCTAATAATAATATTTTTAAGCATGGAATTCCACCCCGAATCACATTCCAGCATCCGTTGTTACATTTGAGAAAAAAAAATTTTTTTTCCTCCTGAGCAGCTTTTTTTCTGACCCCGGCATCACGCGTTTTCTTCCTCTGGCAGCAAAAACACTCGATTTTGAAAAACAGCTAATAATAATATTTTTAAGCATTGAATTCCACCCCGAATCACATTCTAGCATCCGTTGTTACATTTGAGTCAAAAAATTTTTTTTGGTCCTGATCAGTTTTTTTTTCTGACCCCGGCATCACGCTTTTTCTTCCTCGGGCAGCAAAAACACTCGATTTTTAAAAACAGCTAATAATAACATTTTTAAAGCATGGAATTCCACCCCGAATCACATTCTAGCATCCGTTGTTACATTCGAGTCAAAAAAATTTTTTTGGTCCTGAGCAGTTTTTTTTCTGACCCCGGCATCACGCTTTTTCTTCCTCGGGCAGCAAAAACACTCGATTTTTAAAAACAGCTAATAATAATGTTTTTAAGCATGGAATTCCACCCCGAATCACATTCTAGCATCCGTTGTTACATTTGAGTCAAAAAAATTTTTTGGTCCTGAGCAGTTTTTTTTCTGACCCCGGCATCACGCGTTTTCTTCCTCGGGCAGCAAAAACACTCGATTTTTAAAAACAGCTAATAATAACATTTTTAAGCATGGAATTCCACCCCGAATCACATTCTAGCATCCGTTGTTACATTTGAGTCAAAAAAATTTTTTTGGTCCTGAGCAGTTTTTTTTCTGACCCCGGCATCACGCGTTTTCTTCCTCGGGCAGCAAAAACACTCGATTTTTAAAAACAGCTAATAATAACATTTTTAAAGCATGGAATTCCACCCCGAATCACATTCTAGCATCCGTTGTTACATTCGAGTCAAAAAAATTTTTTTGGTCCTGAGCAGTTTTTTTTCTGACCCCGGCATCACGCGTTTTCTTCCTCTGGGAGCAAAAACACTCGATTTTTAAAAACAGCTAATAATAATGTTTTTAAGCATGGAATTCCACCCCGAATCACATTCTAGCATCCGTTGTTACATTTGAGTCAAAAAAATTTTTTTGGTCCTGAGCAGTTTTTTTTCTGACCCCGGCATCACGCGTTTTCTTCCTCGGGCAGCAAAAACACTCGATTTTTAAAAACAGCTAATAATAACATTTTTAAGCATGGAATTCCACCCCGAATCACATTCTAGCATCCGTTGTTACATTCGAGTCAAAAAATTTTTTTTGGTCCTGAGCAGTTTTTTTTCTGACCCCGGCATCACGCGTTTTCTTCCTCGGGCAGCAAAAACACTCGATTTTTAAAAACAGCTAATAATAACATTTTTAAGCATGGAATTCCACCCCGAATCACATTCTAGCATCCGTTGTTACATTTGAGTCAAAAAAATTTTTTTGGTCCTGAGCAGTTTTTTTTCTGACCCCGGCATCACGCGTTTTCTTCCTCGGGCAGCAAAAACACTCGATTTTTAAAAACAGCTAATAATAATATTTTTAAGCATGGAATTCCACCCCGAATCACATTCTAGCATCCGTTGTTACATTTGAGAAAAAAAAATTTTTTTTCCTCCTGAGCAGTTTTTTTTCTGACCCCGGCATCACGCGTTTTCTTCCTCTGGCAGCAAAAACACTCGATTTTTAAAAACAGCTAATAATAATATTTTTAAGCATGGAATTCCACCCCGAATCACATTCTAGCATCCGTTGTTACATTTGAGTCAAAAAATTTTTTTTGGTCCTGAGCAGTTTTTTTTCTGACCCCGGCATCACGCGTTTTCTTCCTCGGGCAGCAAAAAC